TTAAAGAGTTAATTACACTAGAGATCCTCAAAATATAAAATTTATTTTATTTTAGTCATCAATATTTTAATTTTATCCTTTTGATACTTAAAGTAATAAGTATATTTCTATGTAATCTCTCAAGTGGACAATATCTAAAATTTGTTAACAATTTTTTATTATAAATTTATCACGTGATACTTAAATATAATCAAAAAATAATTTTATTAGCTATTGACCAAAAAATACTCTACTCATACGCGATTCATTTAATAATTTATGTCGTGCATGAATCGTATATAACTGATATATAAACGAGTTGTGTTGTATATTTTTTTGAATTGGCTTCACCCATGTCATTTCATTTATTAATTGTATTGTCATGTCGAATCTACTCATTTATAAAGCAGGTGAGTTGAAAAAGACTCAAACTCTCTAATATTGTGTCACTAGTTATTTTTCGTGCCTAAAAACACAGAGTAATAAAAAAAATGGTCAACATATTTGTATTTATACCCAAAATTAAATCACAAACATAAAAGAGAGATAAAAAAATTTAAACACGGATTGTAATGAGAGTGAGCGGTGGTGGGCAACAATGATGATAGTGAGAGACGGTGATGGTTGTGGTGAGTAAGACGACAACTGTGGTAGTGGTAGCAGCCATGAGTGATAATAGCAATGATGGTGGTGGGTTTTGAATGACGATAATGATAGTGACAGTTGTAGGTGACAATAGTGGTGGTGGTGGGACGACGATGACGGTGGTGGTGGTAGTGGTGGTGATGGTGGGTGACAATGGGTACTTTTAGGTGACAGTGTGATAAGTGGTGGTGAATGACGGCAGTGGTAAGTGTGGTGGGGGTAAGTGACAATAGGTGGTTGCAGTGGTGAACGATGACAGATAGTAATGGTTGGTGGTGGTAAGTGTGATGACAGTGACTAGTAACGATGGCAAGTGATAGTGGGTGCTGACGGTGGTAGTGAAATGATGGTGGTAATGATAATAAATATAAGAATAAGATGATAATTATGGTGGGTGATGGTCATGAACGACAATGGTAGCAATCAGTGGTAGGTGGCGATGGGGTGGCAGTGGGTGGGTTGGCAATGGTGGTGGTAGTTGTGATGGTCATAGGGGTGGTGATGGGGCGATGGGGAGTAGTAGAAGTGATGGTGGGGCAATAACAGTGTTGGTAAGGTCTAACAACAGCGATGATTAGGGATAATAGTGGTGGGACGGTGGTGGTAGTGGTAATGATGATAGTGGGGTGGTGGTAATGGTGGCAACGACATTGGTGGTAGTGGTGGGGTGGAGGGTATGGTAAGGGTGGCGATAGTGATTGTGGCACCGGCAATGGGGGTGGGGGTGACAGTGGTGGTGGTAGTGGTATTGGTAGTGAAGCGGTGAGAAGTTGTAGAGGTAGAGATGAAATAGTTTTAAATACTATTTTTTTTTTAAATTACTTATAAGAAATAATTCTTAAAAGTATTTTTAAAAAGTCACTGTAAATACACCCTTAAATTTAGAGTGTTAATATTAGTTTGACTATTAGATTAATTTTAAAGTAAAATTTAAAGCGATCTCAATCGCGACTAGCAAAAGTCATTTTTGAAATTTGAATTATATTATATTTTATTATATAGATATTGCCACAAAATTCAGACGAGTACAATTCTTATATATTAATGTATTGGGCTTAATTCCATGTTATGAAATTCAGAGGCTCATGAAAATTCAAAATTCTAGTGTGAAAGTCTCTGATTATTATATGGGATTTTGACTTTTGTCTTTTTATATAATTATTAACCATTATTCGTACCTAAAAACACTATATAACAAATAAAAAATTCTTACACAATTGTTAAAATTCAAAAAGAATGGCTTAAAAATATTCATATCAATTCTTCAAAATATATCGTCGATCATATACTCCATATTAATAGAACTGTCGTAAAAATATATAAAACTTTTCAAAACAATACCATATATACAAATGCCTCTGAAAATAAAATAAATACTAACATAATCCATTGAAATTTACAATATTTCAGTAATAAATAAAATTTTGCTCATTTATAAAACTTATGAATTTATCACCTTTACTACCACTCAATCCAATAACGAAATATAATTATAAATACAATTATTATGTTTTCAATTCACCTTATCCCCATGTAATAAATATCTCAAGAAAAAAAAAATTACTAATATAACGCAATTAAATTCATAATCTTTAAGTAATAAATAAAATCAACCACATCTCACTCATTTATAAAACTCATGAATTTATCACCACTATCACCATTCAACCCAAATGACACAATAAAATTATAAATTTAATTACCAAATTTTCAATCCTCCACATATAAATATACATAGAATACATACTCTCACACATTTATTTTTTGGCTACCAACAAACCTTTTTAATCAATAACTGTTTTTTATTAGAAATATAATAATTCAAGTTTTTATGATAAAATAATAATAAATTAATATCTAATTAAAAAATAGGGTAAAAAATACGGACTTCCCTTGAGTTTTGACAATATTATGCGGACACCCCATAATATTTTATAAATAACACAGAAATCCCTAGAATTTAAAATTTATTGCACAAAAATCCCTTCTGTCTCCCTTCCTTCAATATTGCTAACGGAAAGTAATAATTTTATCCCCAAAAAAATTATTATTTTTATAATTGTCTTTCACCAACTTTAGTAACCAAAAAAATTTGATAAAATAAAATAAGATTTAATTTAGTACCCAAAAAATTGATATAATTTAATACCCCAAAAAATTAATTAAATGAATTTTAATATTAATCTGATAACAATAAAAATTAATTTGACAAAGTTGAATAAAAATTAGACAAATTTAAATGTCAATTTTTGATAAAAATATATATTAATTTACAATTTGAGGTTCATTTCGTGTTGAATATTATTTGTTGTTGATTAAACCAACATGAAATTGACATTAAATTATAATTTTTTTTGTTGTATATAAACTTAAAAATTTATATTTTAACCCATAAATTTTAAATTTTTTCATACCATAACATATTCTTTACTATATCATTTGATAAATTTTCTTTTGGTAAATACTTGACCACACATACTTAAATCAAACAAATTGTTCACTCCCACTGTTTTTTTTAATAGAATCTTTCACCTCCACTTGTTAAACACAAAAATCTTTGATTCACATGAAAATAAGTGAAAGTAAATTACAAAGTTGAAAATTTTTTTTGAAAAATTTATAGTTCAAAAAAATTTAAAAAATTTAGTACCAAAATTATAACAAATAGAGTAAACATTAAAAAAACTAAAAAAATAATCTATATAAAATCATTATCAATGAGAATTTTAGAAGAATTTAGACCCTGAATCAATTTAGATCTAATTTCAGACAACGATGTGAAACTCAGATAAAAAAGTCTTCAATTCATGAAAAATATATGCTATTTTTTATTCATATTAAGTGTTATTTACAAATTAAAAAGTAAGTGACAAAATAAATGTTGTCAGATATATAAAATTTTGAATTAATTTTATAGAATAAATAATTGCATAACATGTAGTTTCATATATTTTATGGAATAAAAGTAAATAATAAAAAAATAACACTTGAAAAACAGAAAAAATCAGATAATAACATGAGAGCAAGAGTAAGATAAATATAAAGAGAGTTAGATAAACGATAGGAGTCTTAGAAAAATTTGGTATGAGAATTGTTAGATCAATAATCGTCAATTAATCTGAGCCGTGAAAAGTTAAAAACAAAAAAATCTATCTATTTTATTATATAAATATTAACTAGTCAAGTTATATTTTGATACAACTAATTATGAGTTGTTAAGTTGTAATATAAACATTTTATAATGAATACACTAAATGTCTTCTCACTTAATCAATAGCTCAAATAAATTTAGAGTAAATTGTACAAATAGTCATTAAAGTACGACTGGTATGTCAATTAAGTCCAGAAACTAATTGTTATATTAATTGAGTCACTAAATACTAAAATTTTAGCAACCAAGCATTTGAACTAATTTTTTTGTTAATTAAGCCCAAAAACTCTAAAATTTTAGCAATTAAGCCATTCTATTAGCAATTTTTAGATTTTTTGATAGAATGACTTACGTGCTGCTTATCACATAAATAACAAATTAAGGGTATTTTAAATTGTTAATTTGAAACCTATTAAACGAAAAACTCCATTTCTTATACCCATCAATTGACCCTCTAAACTTTTTTCACACCCATTAAATGAAATAGATCGACAAACTCTTTGATTTGGTGTAGAAAACAGATTATATAAATCGAGTCTTTTCGAAAAGTTTGCTAATCTACGTCATTTAATAGATATGAAAGAGACTTAGGTTTAAGGTTTCAGTTGATGAGTATAAGGAATAAGAATTTTCATTTGATAGATTTCGAACAAATATGTAAAATACCATTAATTAGTTGTTCATGTATTGAGTATGTGAAAAATTTCGTCAAAAAACTTAACATTTGGTAACATAAAGGACTTAATTGTTAAAATTTTATAGTTTAGAGACTCAATTGACATAAAATTTAGTTTAGATGCTTAATTACTAAAATTTTAAAGTTTAGAGACTCAATTAATATAAAAACTTAATTGACAGGAAAATTATAGGTTAAAGGTTATTTATGTAGTTTATTCATAAATTTATTACATAATAATATTTTCGGACACTCGCAAGGAAAATTCCAATGCATAAAATTCTTTGGACAGAGAGACATTCTTGTAAATTCAACGAAGACCAGGGGGCAATAATTCATTGTCCAAGGAGAGACAGCCCTTTGAAAAAGCACATATTTTCGACTTCCCTATATAATTGGAGAACGAGAGAGGGAGCGACCCGCCAAAAGCCAGATCCTTGTTTTTCTCGTGCCCTCTCTCTCTTTCTCTCATCATTTCTCCATTAATTCTTCTACTCTGATACGAAACCTAAACCTAAACAACAAACACAACACAACACACATCGCGTAATGGCGTTCTCAGAGAACTATCGCCAATCTCTCATCCCAAGCTTCATCTACTCGTCTTCATCAGCATCCAAGAAGCTCATAGATATGGATCACTTGATGTCGAATCGGAACATTATGTTGAATTCTTCATCTTCACCGTCTATTTCATCTAATGGAGGAGTAACGTCGTCGAAGAAGAGCATCGTGATCCCAGCTCCGAACGAGCCAGGTAAGATCGAGATGTTCTCGCCGGCATACTACGCCGCGTGCACCGTCGGTGGAGTCTTCAGCTGTGGACTTACTCACACGTCCGTCACCCCTCTCGATCTTGTCAAGTGTAACATGCAGGTCCTTTTCCATTTCGACATATCCCTCTCTCTATCTTGCCATCTCCCTTCGTATATACTTGTGGATACGTGCAGATTCTTATGAGTAGCTTTTTTGGATTTGATCGAATTTTTGTATAGTAATTTTGAGGACTTGTTGGCTATATATTTTAGATCTTTGTTGCTTATTGATTTTCCACTGGCGTGTTGGATAGGGAATTAGTGACTCAGAAGCTTATTTACAGAGCTAACTTGTAGATGGGGATTGAATTTATTTTTTGGTTTCCTTATTTGTTTATATCCCTTCACGGTTTAAAACTGATTATATACATACCTAAATATACTAGAGCTATCCCTGTTGTTGTGCTGTCATGGGGAGAGCACACAGTAATTGTTCCAAAAATTCAAACAACACGATGATAAAAATCAAAATAGTGTGTTGCAACCATCGCACATTCTCGTTGCTGTTTGTCTATGACATTTTCTTTGGTTCAGGACAATTGGTATATGCTTCATGCTTGGTGTACGGGTGGCTTGATAAGTTTTGAGGCCTGAAGCTGAGGTTTTTTTTTTAACTTTTTATAATAATAATGTAGATTTTTTAATATTTAATTTTTCTTTCTAGATGCATATTAATTGTTTAGTATTCGTATTGAAGTTTTTCTAACATCTTTTTTTATTGATAGTATAACTAATTGACTTAATTTTTAAATTAAACAAAAAATTCTCAAACTTTCAAATTTAATTTGAATTGTTGTCTCATTTTTGACACTCTTATAAAATTATTTTTTTTATGAATTAGGGATTTCTTATAGAATATATGTTTGATTAGGTTTGTTAAGATTATGATAAAAAAAATAATATTACATAAATCTTATTTAGTGACTTTATTTAACGATCTTGCGAAAAACAAATTATCCCATGATGTAGAAATTACAGTAACGTTAATAAATTCAACTTCTCAGATTGACCCTGCAAAGTACAAGACCATTTCTTCTGGTTTTGGAATATTGCTCAAGGAGCAGGGAATTAAAGGTTTGTTTAGGGGCTGGGTGCCAACCTTGCTTGGTTACAGTGCACAGGGCGCATGCAAGATGGGATTTTATGAATTTTTCAAGAAGTACTATTCCGATATTGCTGGTCCTGAGTATGCAGCCAAGTACAAAACTTTGATCTATCTTGCGGGATCTGCATCTGCTGAGGTGATTGCTGATGTTGCCCTCTGTCCCTTTGAGGCAGTGAAGGTTCGTGTCCAGACTCAGCCTGGGTTTGCCAGAGGTCTGTCAGATGGCCTTCCAAAGTTTATCAAGTCTGAAGGCGCTCTTGGGTATGGCTCTCATTCGAAACACCTTGAGTGTTAGTTAAGCAGGAATAATGAGTTGCACCCTTTTTTCCCAGAAAATACCTTGTTTTTTGTTTATCTTTTTGGAAGCACTAATTTCAAAATTTATCCACTGTACAGGCTTTATAAGGGGATTGTTCCTCTTTGGGGACGACAGATTCCATGTAAGCTGACGTACATACGTTATTCTGTTTTACTTGATTTGTTTGAGCAGTTGGCTGTTTATTCTTATTGGTTTCCACAAGATAATGAAGCCTCTGGATTACTTCGTTTTCACGAATTTTGAGATTTGTCTTACTAAGTAATAAGTATCATTAATTGTTTCTACTTTTCATTGTTCTCTGTGTTTAGGGGAGGGTCATGCATTTGCATAAACATCAACAATGTGTGTTGTGCTTGTCTATGTACAGAACTTTGATCATCGTTGTAAAATTTTACTAGTTTCCTCTTGTTCTTTCATTTATACAAACAATATTTTCATGCTGCTTCTGTGTTCTTTTGATCAATTGATTGTCTTTCTGTTAAATTAATTGCAAATTGATGCAACACAAATCACGGTTCACTCGAATCCACTTGGGTTGTGTCAGTGTTATCCTGGTTATGGTACTTTATGCCTCTGAACTGTGGAGAAATTAGAATCAACACTTTTTTTTGATACTCACTTCTCCATGGGGTTCGAAGACATACAGTTACTGTTATTAGCTCGAAATCTTTTTTTACCAATGCATTCAGCTACAATACCTATTGCTAATCACGGTGGTGTACTATCTTAATTTGAGTGTTGATTCTCAAATTTGTTGGTTTCACTGGTGTTCTTATGGTCTTTTGCATTTCCAAAGTTGGCATCTGAATCTGGGATATTTGCAAATATTTGGTATTCTCTAGTTTCTGAATTCTGATAAATCATGGATGCATTCAGTAAGTATTGGTGTCCAATAGACATAATTTTAGACAGGGAACATTTGGGGGATTGTGTGTGCAATTTGTCCATTTGCCTATGGCTTGGTTTACGTCATGAATTGTTTTCTGCGAGATTTGTGTTTGATAACCCATTCTTGTGTGGCCTACTGATAATAAACTGGGAATTTCACAGATACAATGATGAAGTTTGCATCTTTTGAGACTATTGTGGAGCTCCTTTACAAGTACGCTATCCCAACTCCAAAAGAACAGTGTAGCAAGCCTTTTCAGCTTGGAGTGAGTTTTGCTGGTGGATATGTTGCGGGTGTATTCTGTGCCATCGTATCACACCCTGCTGATAACCTGGTCTCTTTTCTCAACAATGCCAAGGGGGCAACTGTGGGTGATGTGAGTGATAGATAGCCATTTCCACCATCAATTGTCTCTCTATTTTACAATAGCTTGTTTTATTTTATTGCAATCTATGTGTTGCAGGCTGTGAAGAAGATGGGCTTATGGGAACTGTGTACTCGTGGTCTTCCTCTTCGTATAGTCATGATCGGAACCCTTACTGGAGCTCAGTGGGGTATCTATGATGCTTTTAAAGTTTTTGTTGGGCTGTAAGTTTCTACCCCTAGATTTGCTGCAGTTGATTAGCAATTTTTTTTCAAATATTAATTATTTCTTCTATTGCCATTTGCATGTTGCATGGAGGTTTTTCTGTTCATTAGCAAGTTCCTTGTGTGGCTGTAATGTTTTCACTAAAAATGATAACAGAACTTTTGCTCTTTTACAGGCCAACTACTGGAGGTGTGGCTCCTGCTCCTGCTCCTGCTGCTGTGTCCGCGAAGATGTGAAGTTATTTCCCACTGTTACCATCTACAAGTGCGTTTTTCTGGTAAAGAAGACTTCAAGATGGGCTTCCCTTTTTGGCGGATCAGTAATGTTAGCGTTGGTGATTGGTAGTAGGATGACATTTGATACTCGACGGAGTTTATACTTGATTCTAAATGTAGTAGTATCCGTTTGCAGTTTCTTATTTTTGCAGTTCAATATCTGATTATTTTTAGGTGATGGTGTTATTCCATCCTCTGTAACCTGGTGTTAATATGTGACACTGTATGATGATCTTCGTATCAAGGTTTTGATCCTTATAATCATAATAATGTTACGAGTTGTTCTAATCAAGTTGTTTACTCTGCAAAAGCTCCTTCTTGTGATGATATCTGCAGATGCTAATCGATCATTTTTTTTCATAGTTTTCTATTATTGGCGCTCCCACAATCTAGGCCCTGAGTTAATTTCACGAGTGTCACATTTCTGGAGGAAAAGATTGACTCTAATTCTTCATACTTCAACATAGGTGATCCATATTCCTTATTCTTCAGCATTATCTTATTGTTACATTTGAAAGTATCTTATAGTAGCGAGAAATTTAACTCTTGTGAATACTTTAGTTTCGACGTGGGTGATTCATTTTTGACTGGCACTAAAGAGGAGAGTAGTCAAGGTGTGCGTAAGTAAGTTTGAACACCTCTGACCGTTAAACTTGAAAAAAAGAAAGAAAGAAATTGAGCTATAGAGTAAGAAATCCAAAAGAGGTGTAGGTACTTGTTTATGATTTTTCCTTGCATGGATCGAACCTCTACACCGGAAAACTGAACAGTTGGGTGATCTGTGTGGAAAAATTACAATTTCCCAAAGAAATGAAAGATTTTGGTTGTTCAATTGACACATTCCTCGGGAAATTCCGGTGCACGTATGAGTTACCACAACACTATTTTCAACTCCCACCTAAATATATAGTATAAGAACTAGCGATGCACGGTGTTTATAAAAACTTTGTCCTTTTATTTTATTTATGGATTGAAACAATTCAAGCAATTAAACACTTTCTTATCCTTTAGTTGAACAAACTTAGTCTTAATAACCAATTAAGTTTTCCTTTTCCTTTTCTTCTTCTTATAGAAATACCTCAAAATCCTTTGATGCCGACTAAATGTGTAGATTATATAAATCGGTCAAATTTCTTACCTTGCGGTCGGAGATTCAAGTCTTAAGGTCCATATTGAAACTCAGTTGTTAATCGTTATATTAATCTAATTAAGTTCGTTCTCAAGAGTAGTAATGAACGCGATCAGTGGTATTATGATCCCACCAATAAAGGTTTATCAGAGTGGTTTCTAACCGTTCTCCTTTGTTCTCATCCCTTAATTTGACGAGCAAAATAATAAAAATAATAATAATTTGGTTCTTGAAAAAATATTTTGTGCTACTAACAAAACAATGGGGTGTTTTAATTGTTTATATCAGAAACACCCTCCTTTGTCTATAATGGGGTGTTTTAATTTTTTGTTCAATACATTGAAAAACATCATCTTTTTTAAGTATTTAGCATATAATATATTATATTTTTGTAATGAAAGATGATTCAAAATTTGGCTTCATTCATTTGCCACAGTGATGTTTAAAAACCTGAAAAGGACGGCCTTTTTCAATTGGGCTGGGCCTACGCTTCAGAATCACACCCGAATCATAGGTGAATAGGTGAAGCACAGTTTACTTGCAATGGACCAACTGTCTTAGCTATGAGTAAATATGGTTAAATATTGAGTCAAATAGTTATATTATGACAATATTGTCACGTGGTATAACGATTTAATAATAAATAAATAATTGTGGAAGCAAACTCCACTTTTTGCATGTAAGGCGGTTATTGTCTGAATGGGTTGGGCCTTTTGAGTTATCCCTGGACGATCATATTTAACTCGTGTCTCTACTTAATAGAAGTAGAAGCCTTAAAGACCTAAAATTCAGTTATATTTCAACCCGGCCCATGGGCCTTTTTTTTCCCCCAGCTTTTCATATCCGTGTCAAATTCGCCCAGCCCATGGTTACGGCTCTTATCCAAAATGAGGAAGAAGACAACTTTTATTATTATTATTATTATTATTATTTTCAAAAAGACGACTTGAAGGCAAGGAATTGAACAAAATGGAGGCAATATCTCACCCAAGGGTACATTCATCAGGTTAATTTCGGATGTAGCTCGACTTTAATACATTTTTTTTTCTTAATTGCACTCAATCACAGATGAGTAAAGGGTCTCGTTCATAAATAGCGGGCCATCATTTAAATTTATGATTAGATGATCGGTTTTTTTTAAAAATTGAATAAAAAAATATATTAAAGAGATTCTCACTCCATTAATTTCTAGGTAGGAATCGAAGTAAATAAAAGGGATGTGTTTGTAACCCCAAAGAGTAGTTCAAGTGATAATAGAAATGACATGTAAACATAAACGTTCTGAATTCGAATCTTTCTAATCTTTTAGTGTTAGATCATGAGATATTTATCTCTCATAAATATTCTAGTTCAGACATACAAACGTACTGAGTTCTAATCTTGCCAACCTCTTGGGACCAGACCATGATCCCTCATAAATACCCTAATCCCAACATGGATGACCTATCTATGACCAGACCGAAAAAAAGATTAGTCGAGGTATGTATAAGAACAAAAATAAAGATGTGTTGCTGCCTCTTAATAACCTATTTTTTAGCATTTGTTTACTCAGACGTAATGAAACTTAAAAAACCAATGAATTTAGAGTAATATTATGTGGACTTAAAAATGTGACCTTATTTGCTGACTTGATTTATTATAATTTTTGGATTGATTGTGATTTCTATCAAATATTAGAATTTTTTTCATTTAATAGTGTTAATAAAATCACATCATCAAGGTCTGAATAGTAGCATTACTCATGATTTTAACACTGAATCAAAAGTAATTTACCCCCAAAAAATTTGGATCACAATAATTTATCTGGAAAAAAGCTAATTTTTTTTTTATTCAACGGTCAAGAGTGTCCAATCAAACTTACATGAAAAGCTAAGCTTTTTGATTCACTCTTCTTATGTGGTCGGCCTTCTTACCCATCTTACTCCTTTCACTCAGTGGAATATATCAATACCTGAGCCCAGCGTTCCTTGCGTTCTTCACCGAAGTCGCCGGATGTATCACTCATCCTGCTCCTTACCTCGACTATTCGTACCAATTTGATGAATTGTCTTTTCTTTGGATAGCTCCTTATAAAGAAAGGTACAGCTAAAACAATGGTGACCTAGTATTTAACCATGTAGCTACTTGGCCACTACTATGCTTTCGAAGAACTTTGTACTCCTAGCACGGAACGTTTGTTGTTTTCCACAACAACATTTTCCCCAAGATCTTTTCCCTTTGATGGAATCAAAGAAATCAATTTGTCTTATAACTCTCTTCCTACGCGTAGGAAAGATTACGATTTTCTTATAATCTTTTCATATCGCTGCATGAAGTTGATATATATACGCGTAAAAATATGTCAGTTTCTGATGATAAATGACTGCTTGAAGTTGTGGATTTTGGAATTGTTCACAGGCAATTTCATAGAAGAAACCCAAACATAAACTATGAAGGTTATGTTGGGAATTACAAAGTTTTTATGTCATTCGTATCGTGTCGTATCATTTTTCTTTATGTTATTTTCGTATTGTGTCATTTTCGTATTGTATCACTTTCTTTCGTGTCATTTTCGTGTTGTATTACTTTGGATACGTGTCGAGTTTTTGTCAATAAAAAATTATCTAATTTAACAACAATTCATATATTAAAAATTATAAAATATTTGTTTTCTGTTTACAATACTCATTAGATACTTATTTTATATTTGCAATATCCTTTTATTGTGTTATTCGTGTCTAACTTTAATTTGATCCATTTATTACTCGTGTCAACTAATTGTGTCATTTTCAAATTTTTTGTTGGGTCGGGTTCGTGTTAATAAGTAAAATTGACAGCCCTATTTGAAATCTATTCCATTGAATTTCATAAGCAATTTCGCTCTAGATGTTGCATGACGAATAACATGCAGGGGAAAAACTGCAGATAGAAATTTTTGGTCCGTTCTGTCAACTTCGATCTGTTAGAATGTTTGACAAAAGAATGATAGGAAATCATCATTAACACATAGTATCGATCTGAACAATAACATGTTACATATGTATAGTCTCTCTCTCTCTCTCTCTGATATATATAGGGTTTCTTGTTATCGATTCATGATATAGCGTCTTAATGATAACTTACTATTATCATTGTAATGAATATTACTTGATATATGACATTGTGGCAATCTAGAAAGATTTAGATTGCCACACCCTATTCTAGTTCTGTATAAGTAGGTATACCCATTTCGAATTTGTTAATGAAAGTGTGAAATTATATATCCCAAGTGATCAACCTAGCTATGCTTCGACTTGTTGGACACAGTTGTGAAAATGTCTGTGACGGGGTCCAATTTTTTGTTATCATTTTGTTAAGATACATGTATGAGTGAAGAGATGGTTATCGGGTAATTGAAAAAGTGTCGCCATGGTTTGTGACAACACTGTGTGCCATCAGCTGGATGCCCATTGACCTACTTGTCTTGATCTATGAACATGGTATGGAGAGTTGGTCATCAAATTCTCTTCTACGTCTTTTGTTGCTTTCAGAAACTAGTCGTGGTTGGAAATGAATTCTCTTTTTTCTGTTTCGAACAGGTAAGGCTCTGTGGATTAATATATAGTGACTTATCGACTTCAGTCTAGTCACTTTAATGCAAACATAAACTCCTCCAAAATAACAAACTAATCCAATCATATTCATACAATCTTTGTTAAAGTTCTCTCTCTTTATGTCTCTCAAGTGAGATATACTATTTATACACGATAGGTGATCGACAACTGAATAAAAGTACAGTGAAAAGTATCTAATTTCAAAAGATGTTAGCTCAGGAAAATGTTTTATGCTACAAATTAACGTCACTAAAACTTCC